TAGAAACGTTGCGTCACAGTGTCACGTGACCTCGCTGACGCAACAGTACCAGCTACAACCGTATTTTATTGTGGGTTAAGAATACTGTGCTGATTTCATGTTGATTACATATCTTCTGGGCTGAACAAGGCCCAGCGGATCCGAAGTTTTGTAGTTCGCACTCGGTTTTTGCAGAAAAACATCTCACGCCGCATTTAGGGTCGTGGGTACGTTATAAAATTAGAATAGTCCATCCGAGTTGGCGGTGGGGGGGGGGGTGTTAACTAACTGCCTTCTCTCTTGTCTTTCACTTCAAAATTAGGGACGGCTAGCACAGATAGCCCTCGAGTAGCTTTTCGCAAAATTCATCAAACAATAACATATCTCCTTTATGTTTTCAGAGAGATCTCTAACATAGGGAACATTTCTGAGCGTCTGAAATTTTCTTCCTGTTTATTCTTGATGATGATCTTCTTTATTTTCTTCTTTATCAAAAGTTCTCAGGAATCTCCTGAAGATAGCAGCAAATTATCAGCCGAAGCGGGAAGATTAAAACCAGTGTTGTAGGTTGCGTTTTTAATGTCTTAGATCAGCTCGCGCAGACTGTGAGAGAGTAAAGACGTACCTTGCTTTGGCTTTAAAATCTACATTAAACCGTTATTTGAAATGTTTACACCAGACAATAATACATATCACTTGGTTCAGTAACTAGCTTGATTTGCAACTTTACTGATTGATAACAGATGAAGTACAGCAGACCCGCCTCGGCGGAAAACTCAATCTCAACAACTGCGAGCTACAGACAAGACAGAAAGAGTCGTTCTAGTAGTGAACGAAGATACACGTACTTTTTGCTCAATACAGTGAGCGGGAAACCGAACCAAAGTACCCTCACTGGCAGAAGCACGTGTCAGAGTCGCCTACGAAAAACCCCAGCGGGATAAACAAATGTCAACGCCGAGCGGGAGCACTGCTTCAGGTAAGACAGGTTTGACTATAGACATATTAGCCTCTTTCAGTCCAGAAGTAGAAGAACTGGTAATACTTGCAAAACAAGAATACGACGAATAAATGGCAAGGTTAGCTCCACGTAAAACAAAGAAAGCAGTTAGGCTAACAAAAAAAGACACACACAAAAAAAAAAACACTTCTATGGAAATTAACGAAACTACAGAACCACAAGAAGAACACTCAGGAAAATCAATACTAGAACACAAAGAAGAATACAACAACACACCTACACAAACTAAACACGAAGAAGAATACAACACACTTGCACAAACTAAACATGAAGAAGAATACAATAACCCACCTACACAAACTAAACACAAAGAAGTACATGGAAACTCACACGACCAACAAGGGTCACAAAAAGAAGTACACGAAGATAATCTCCAAGAAACACCAGAAGATCAAAACAATTTCATACTAGTACAATCGAAGAAAGCAAGAAAACAAACAGCACAAAACACAACCAATCATACAAATGTAACACACAAAAATACACCACAAAACGCTATTATAATTCAAGGTATTTTAGCACATTACAGGGAACCACAATTTGCGGCTGAAATCAAACGAAACAAGCCGAAAGTACACATCACAACAATTAAACGACTAGCCAAGGGCGACGTCCTGGTCAAAGGCCGCTGACCTCAACCAACTACTGAAGACATAGCCCCAAGACGCATTTGAACCCGGAAACATAACGATACACATACCAGGAAACAAACCAAACCACAAGTCTTTCGTCATAAAAGCCATACACAAACGAAGAAATAGAAACAGAGCTCACACAGAAAAACATACTAGTAACTAAAGTTGAACGGACTTTCTCAAACAGAACACAGAAACTCACTGACCTCATAAAAGTACAAGTACAAGAAACACAAGACACAAAATATAATATTAAATGGTATCACACTCTGGTATAGAAAATACACGGTAGAACCCACCAAAATACCAGCGGTAGTAGTAACCCAGTGTTACAACAGCCAACGGTATGGACATGTGGCAGCCGCATGTAAAGCTCTCCCACGCTGCGTAGGGTGTGGGGGCGATCACAGAAATAACGAATGCCCGCGAAATAACCCACAGCCATACTGCTGCAACTACCAACAACAACACACGGCAAACTATAAAGGATGCCAGAAATATAAAACTATTAAAACAAGAATAAACAATATACAAAACAACACACAAGCTCAAAATCACAAACTACTCAGCGCACAAAGAAAAACACCATTACTACCTACACCAAACCCTCAACAAAATGGCAATACAAACAAACAGTCTACCGCACAGACATTCGCACAAGTATTAAAAACCCACACCCGAACGGAAACAACTATACAAGCACAAGAAGAGAAAATCAACACACAAACCAAAGAAACAACAGAACAAAAGAAGTTACCTATAGTTACACCTCCTAAAACACAGGAATTCATAAACAAAGTAGTAGAGACAATCAAAAACATATTCAAAAAAGTTGTCGAGAAATATAACAGCCCTCAAAACAAAGACAATATATTCACAATAATCACAAAAACAGCAGCACAAGAACTACCATTATTATTACCACACTTACTACTTCTACTATAGACCCAAAGTACACTAACACCCAAAAATATGGCGATTCACACATACAACTTGATAACATAAAACGGACATGGCCCTGAAAAGGAAAGTACTAACAGAAATACATCAACCCCCCATATCAAACCAGCCAACCAAAAAACCTGAACCATAGAAAAAAGCTATAACAACTGTACAGAAGGGAGGAAGAGGTCTACCTGAACCTGACCCTCCCAGGTGGATGACCTAAATCCCGATCCGGAGAAGA